GAGAGAGAGAGAGAGAGCGCGAGGCGAGAGAGAGCGAGAGAGAGAGAGAGAGAGAGAGAGAGAGAGAGAAGAGAGAGAGAGAGAGAGAGAGAGAGAGAGAGAGCGAAGAGAGAGAGCGAGAGCGAGAGTCTCGTTCAGACCCGGAGACAGGGGAACGCTCCAAGTGATATAGATAGAACGTTCTCCAATGTCATAGCGTGTGGGCCGGTTCTCATCAGGAAACTTCGCTAAGGTCGCGGATAAACTTCTGGAACAAACGTTAGCGAACCCTTACTGTTTTTTTCTTTTCCTTTGTTGTTTCCTCCTGATCTCTGTCTTTTTTTCTGGCGTATTTGTCTGTCTGTCTGTCTGTCTCCTGTCTCTCTCTCTCTCACACACACACACACACACACACACACACACACACACACACACACACACACACACACACACCACACAACTCACTCACTCACATCACACTCACACTCACACTCACACTCACACTCACACTCACACTACTCATACTCATACTCATACTCATACTCACACTCACACTCACACTCACCTCACACACTCAACACACTCACACACACCACACACAACACACACACACACACACACACACACAACACACACACACACACACACACACACTACACAACTCACAACTCACACTCATAGCTAAATATAATAGCTAGATAAACAGCGAGATAAACATAAGGATGGATAGATACAGCCGCGAGTAGTTTTTTTTTTTTTTTTTTTTTTTTTTTTTTACATACACCCTCCGAAGAGACAGCGAGAGACACTTTCCATACACACGATAAGGAAAAATGAACACGATATGTTTTTCGAATCTCCGAGACGTTTCCTCCTCGCTAAGGGGACTAAAAGAAGGCACATCTCGACATTTCCGTTGTTCCGGTATGCAAAACACTTCCTTCTCTGGATATATTACAATCTCTTTTCCTTCCCCTCCTTTTCCCCTCTCCTGATCCCTCCCGCACCCCCCCTCTCTCTCTCTCTATCTTACTTTCCTTCCCTGCTTTCTTATTTTTCTGTGCTGCGATTTTCTATTCTTCTTCTTTCTGCGTTTTTTATTCCTTTTCCCCCTCCTTGACTTTCCCCTCCCCTCCCTATCCTTTTTTTTCTATCCTTTTCTTCTTCGCTTTCTTTCCATTCCCTACCCCCTACCCCTCTCCCTTTCCCATTTATCTTTCCTCCCTTTCTCATCCTCCTCTCTCCCTCTCCTTTCCCCTCTCCCCTCCATCTACTGTCACTTTCCCTCTCCCTCCACCACCTCCCCCCTCCATCTCCCGTCTCTTTCTCTCCTTTTCCCTCCCTTCACACCGTCTCCCTCCCTTTCCCGCGCTCTCCACCATCTCCCTCACACTTCCTCTTTACCCCTCCGCCTCCTTCCCTCCACCATCTCCCCTCTCTTTTCCTTCCATCTCCTCTCCCTCCATCTCAGCCCCTCCCCCCCCCTTCTTTACCCCACCTCCCCTCCCCTTCCTTCTTTACCCTCCTCCTTCCCTTCCTTCTTTACCCCCTCCTCCTCCCCCTTCCTTTTAGTCCTTCTCCTCCTTCCCTATCCCAGCCCCTTTCCTCACCTCCTTCCCTGTATCGCCCCTTCCTCTTCCCCTTCCTTCTTTTACCCCCCACTCTTTCCTCTTCCAGCCCCTTTCCTCCCCTCCCTTCCTTCTTTACCCCTCCTCCCCCTCCCCTTCCTCCTCTAACCTCCCTTTCCCTTCCAGCCCTTTCTCCCTCCCCCTTCTTCTTTACCTCCCCCCTCCCCTTCCTTCTTTACCCCTCCTCCCCCTCCCTCTTCTTCTTTCCCTCCTCCTTCCTTCTTCCAGCCCCTTTCCTCCCCTCCCCTTCTTCTTTACCTCCCTCCTCCTCCTTCCCCTTCCTCCTTTACCCTCCCCTCCCTCCTTTCTTCCTCTTTACCCTCCTCCTTCCTTTACCCCCTCCCCCTCCCCCTTCTCTTTCGCGTTAAGGCACAGGAGGGCGAGACGGACCCGAATCACAAGGACCTTAGCGCAGCCTAAAGGTTTGGTGCGCTTGGCGATGCTCGGGTTGGGGGCGCCTCTCTTCTGGGGGGGCTGGGTGTTCGGGGGGCTTGGTGTTCTCTTTCTTTCGGGATGTTGTCGTTATTTTTGTTTAATTGTTTGTGTGTGTGTGTTTTTTTCCCTTTTATTATTATTATTTTTTTTATGTTTTTTAAGGTTTGTTTGTCATCGTTTTCGGTTTCTTTTCCGTTTTCATTTTCTTTTCGTTTTTATGTTTACCATTTTTTTATGCTTATTATTTTTGTTTTCGCTTTCATTTTTATTTTCGTTTTTATTTTCATTTTCATTATCTTCATCATGATCATGTCATCATTATTAGACAGACAGCCAGAAATAGATAACCTGGGTACATAAAGGATAGATAAATAAATAGATAGATAGATAGATAGATAGATAGATAGATAGATAGATAGATAGATAGTAGATAGATAGATAGATAGATAGATAGATAGATAGATAGATAGATAGATAGATAGATAGATAGATGGATGAATAGATAGGTAGAGAGGTAAAAAGGTACATAAAAAATGAGGAAGGAGACAAAGGGAAAAAAGGAATCATAAAAAGAGGGATCTGAAAATAGAAAAAAAGTAAGGGAGAGAAAATGGAAGAAGATAGGGAAGAGAAAATGGAGGAGAAAGAGAGACAAGGAAGGAAAATGGAGGAGAGAGAAGAGAGAAGACAGGAGGGAAATGGAGGAGAGAGAATAGAGAAGACAAGGAAGAGAGAATGGAGGAGAAAGAAGAAGACAAGGAAGAGAAAATGGAGTAGAAAGAAGAAAGGAAGAGAAAATGAAGGAAGAAGAAGAAGACAAGACAGAGAAAGTGGAGGAAGAGAGAAAAGACAAGGAAGAGAAAATGGAAAAAGAAAGAAGGAAGAGAAATGGAAAAGAAAGAAAAAGGAGAGAAAATGGAGAGAGAAGAATAGGAAGAGAGAAGAAGAAGAGAGAAAAGAGAGAAGAAGACAAGGAGAGAAAATGGAAAGACAAGAAGACAAGGAAGAAGAAAAAAAACAAGAGAAGAAAATGGAAGAGAGGGAAGAAGACAAGGAAGAGAGAAGAGGAAGTCGAGTTAGCTTCATCACGTCCCGTGGCTTTGATCTCTGTTTCTGAAGCCAGTTGAAGCTCACGACTTGGCCGAGTCGAAGTCGACAAATGAGATGAGAGTCATTGCCGTTGAGGATC